TCTCTCTCTCTCTCTCTCTCTCTCTCTCTCTCTCTCTCTCTCTCTCTCTCCTCTCTCTCTCTCTCTTTCTCTCTGTGTGTGTGTGTGTGTGTTCCATAACATACTTGTGAAGGTCAGAGCACAACCTGCAAGAATCAGTTCCATTGTACTGCGTGGGATGTGGAGATTCAACATGGAGGTTGTCAGGTTTGGTGGTCAATACGCCCGTGTACCTGCTGAGCCATCTCAACTGTCTTGTAGTTTTTACTTCACAAACGAGATGGTCAAAGCCAAGTTGAACAAGGATGCTTCCACCTGTTTCCTTCCAAGACACTAAGATCCAGTTAAAAGCCCCCCTGGCTTTATTTTTCGTAACAACACCTCATTCCTTATGTTGTTGGGGAGAGGTTTCCAGAGGCCAGACTTGATTAATTATGTGCCATCATAATAATGATCAATACATTCATCATTCTCTAGATCCCTATTACCTCACTCACAGTACAGTATTAACCTGCTTAATCTTTCCCAGGGGATTATGCAGTGCCACAGTCTCTAAATGTACTGTGTGTGCAGTTTGTGTGCCCATGTTCAGGGGAAGACTGGATCTGCAGGTACATTGCCACAAGTTCATGGCTTCATGGTCCCTTAAAATAGCCCTGCCTGCTCTTCCCAGCTCTCTGGCTCTGGTCTCTGTTTCCTTCAAGCCAGCCTGGCCAGGCTCTGTCTCCTCCCCCTCTCCCATCTTCTCCGTTTCTCCTGTTGGTGCTTCAGATTTGCCTCTCTGGATAGAAAATTTTACTTTAATTCTTTCCCTGATTTTAAGTTTTTATGGCTTTTTGTTTTACAATATGTTTAATAGGAATAATCCATATTTTCAGAATAACTTAATTTGAATTTTAAACTTTGACCAAAGTTGAATATTTACAGATTCACCAGAGAAAATAATTCTTGAATGACAACACACACACCCTTTCTATCAACTTACTGAATTCATCATTAAATAAATGATTCAATCTTGGGGCTAGAGACATGGCTCACCTGTTAAGCACATATAGCACTGTTAAAGAGGACCTGAGTTGAGATTCAAGCACCTATATCAGAAAGCTCACAACTACCTGTAAGTCTACCTCCAGGAGATCTGACACCTCCTTTCTCTGAGAGCATCTCATTCACGTGGCCATACTCATGCAGAAACACATAATTACAAAAAAAATTAAAATAGCTCTTTAAAATTCTGTCATTACTTCACAATAATTAACAGGGAGGAATCCAGGAAGCAAGTAGGGGGAGATGCCAGACATGGCCTAGACTAACAGACACAATTTGTGCATCTCTCCACACGAGGGCACTTGAGCACGCTCGAATGCACCAAATGAGTTTGTTATTGGAAGCTGCACAGCATTTGGTGTCAAAGCGCCCCTCTCACTGTATCTCAATGCCAAAATGGGGTGGAACAAGGTTTGGAAAGGTTGCTGACTTCCAAGCTCTTTAGTGTTTCCTTGTAGTTATACAAAACAGGCAGGCTGGAGCCGGATGTACCCTGGAAAGGTATCCTGAGGCTTGAACTAGGCCTGACCAGGAGTTCTAAATTCTATTGCCTGTTCTAGGCTTACCCTTCCCTTCTTCAGAAGATCAAAATAATTTTTTTTTTTTTAAATCCCAGGTGATGGAAGGAAGGTGGGTCTGGGAACAAATGTTACCCTGCGCCTACTCCTTACAGGCCTTCCTTCTTTTCCATGGCTCCTCCTATGTTCTTCAACTGCATTCCTACCCTCAGACTCTCCAGGGCCTTTGTCAAAGTTAACCAAAGCCCCAAAGCCAGAAGAACACTACCAGGCGGGAGTACCTGCCAGACACTGGAAGGCAGCTGCGTCCTGCAAACCAAAGCAGATACCTTGGGAGCCATGACCCAGAAGCCCTAGGGACCCCAAGGCAGTTAAGGTTTCTTTGCTCAGCTCTGTCCTCTTGTAGTGCTGTCCTCTCTCACCGGGACACACGACCTCCCGCCCAGCTGTGAGTGCCCCCGCCCTGAACCCCCATGCACAACCCAACTGATATCCAGAGAGTCTTCCTGTATCTAGCTCTCTGGAACTGGAAGTCTCCAGGTGCCTTCGCCACAGCGGGAGCTGGGTACCCTGCTGAGAAGGGAATGGAGGAGCTGCAGGGGACGGGGGGGGGGGGGGGAACCAGAAGATGAGCTGGTATCTAGGTGGTGCCAAATAATGGGGCCTAGACATGTCCGCTCCCTTGGTGTGTTTCTGGTGTCTTGCCTTCCTTCCATCTCTTTGGTGAGGCCGAACGTGGCTGTGGCAAGGACTTTAAAAAAAAAAAAAAAGGCAAAGCAAAAAGAGAAAGCGATCACTCCGACCCCTGGCTTCCGCCCCGCCGGGGAGGGGGCGGAGAAGCTGAACCAGGCAGAGTCGCTCAGCACCCTGGCGACTCGACTCGCGAGTGGCGCGGAGAGGCCAGGCTCGCCTTTCTTCTTTCCCCACCGCCTCCTTTTCCCCCCTTCTCTCTTTTCTGCTGGAGGGGGTGGGGAGAGGAAAGAGAGACAGAGAGAAAGGAAATTTTTTTCCGAAGCTTCCTAACCAGCGAGCCAGCGCACAGCGGCCCATGGCTTCGCTGTACCAAAGGTTCACCGGCAAGATCAACACCTCACGCTCCTTTCCGGCGCCCCCGGAGGCCAGTCGCCTTCTGGGTGGCCAGGGACCGGAGGAGGATGCGGGCCCGAAGCCCCTCGGGCCGCAGGCGCAGGCGGCGGCGCCCCGGGAGCGCAGCGGTGCTGGTGGCCGGCCCCGGTTCCAGTACCAGGCGCGGAGCGACTGTGACGAGGAGGACGTAAGAGCATCGTGGTGGGTGGGTGGCGGTGGTGGGAGCATCGGCGATGCACACGGGCCTGGCGACTCGTAAGGGTCTCTGGGTCCCCTACGCCTCTTTTTGCGTTTTCTCCTGCCTTGCCGGGAGCGTGCTCAGACACTCTCCTTGGCTCCTGATCTCAGTCATCATAGTCCGGAGCAGATCTTTGCGGTGGTGGCCAGGAGTTGGTACCTGGAGCAGGAAGGGTTTTGGAGCTGTGCCTGCTGAGATGTGGACTATGCTTGGAATTCGCTGGATGCATGCATGTCTGTTTGTAACCGCATCCTGCTGTGGTTCTCAAGGAGGGAATTAGATGTGTGTATGCTTAGAGTTGTGTTTTAGGTTTATTTTCCTGCTTTATGGCTCAGGGAACAGCTAGTTCAGGTTGTTTTTTTCTTCTTACCACTTGTCACGGCAACTATCCAACCAAGGTGGCTCTCCTCTCCTCTCCACTCTGTCCCCTTTTTACTGTCCCCAGACACCTTCTCTCTACACCCAAGGATTAGACTTTAAAAAATGTCCTAGCTTTAGAGCCCTGGCCTCTGACCCAAGCCCAATACAGCTCTCACCAGGCATGCTAATTAGGGCTGCAAGCCCGAGTTCCAGCAACTCTACTTGGACCATGCTCCTTCCTCAAGAAGTTCTCAGAGAGGTCTCTTACTCTTGAGGCTGGAAGTCTAGGCTTCCAATACTGAATTTGCATATTCACCTAGAAATCAAGAATTCATTCAGGGTACCAGTGGCAGCCACAGAAATGGGCCAGAAGGTCATGTACTGATCCCTCTCAGCAGTTGGTCCCACTAGGACTTTCAGGGAGGGAGAGCTTTTCCTGAGACCTGTTCCGGGGAAAGAAGGCAACTCCCAGGTGAGCCCTTGGGCAGCCAGGTCTGGTTTGGCTGCAGCAGCCCTCAGCTGTGCCGTGTCTGCAGAGTTCCTGAGGTCCCTTTTCCATGTGGATCTGTAGCACCTGGGTCTTTACACAAGCCTCTTAGTCTCCTTCACCCTTGCAGAGCAGGGCAGCCCATCACCCTGGAGGAAACATGAGGTGTGCCCATGAGACATACAGGGTCTCACTTAGCAAGACTTCAGTGTTTAGTAATTTTTGGTGCAAGAGAGTAATAATGTTTCCATGAGGGAGGGGATCTCAATTGCCACATCTTACAAAACCGGGGAGGCCATGCTACTGTTAACTGTTGAGTTTGTTTTGTTTTATGATCGCATAGGGACGGCCACAGAGGTGACAGGAGTTGGTGGGAGGCCCACTCACAGCCATGCATCATGCATTTTTTTCCTGGTCATTTCCAGATTCCTCTGGCTAGAAAAAGATATCACAGACTAGTGTACCTCACTCTGGCGGGTCAGTCTTGGGGGAAAATGGACACATTATTGACGTCTGGTTTAAAGAACTAGAATTCTTTGAGGGTGGTATTGAGCCATAAATAATTCTAGTGGATTCTATTTACTTAGCATCCTGTGGATATAACTGGGTTGCAATGCAGACAAGAAACACACACACACACACACACACACACACACACACACTGAAATCTGGCTTAAAAGCTTCGGGTTATGGGTCTGGAATGAATTTGCTTTGCTAAGCAGGCTCTAGATGTCGCTAGCAGAAAGGACAGACAGTGCTGGGAGCACCAGCTGGTCTCCGCCCATCTGAATTAGGTTTGTTTGTTTGTTTTTTAAGATCCTAGCTGAGAGCTGGCAGCTCCCTCTTTTCATTCTGATGCACAGCTAGAACTGCTTCTCAGGCAAGTCTGAGGTCAGCATCAGAGCAGATCAATGTGACATCCACCATGAGAGTTCTGAAGGGTGCCTTCCTCCAACTCAGATACATCAAGTTCCAACACTGTGTTTGTGTCCTGCAAAAACCAGAAATGTGTCTGTGTGTATGCATGCAACCATGCACATGGGCATTGGTCAAGTGTGCTTAGTATTCTGTGGTGTGTATGTTTTTTCCAGTATTAGGTTATAATAAGCACATACCCTTTCTATAAAGCAGCAGTTGTACGGGATGAAGAAGCATGGGTGGGGGCAGGTGTTTATCGGGAGCTTTATAGGTAGTACAACTGTCAGGTAGAGGAGTCATGATAAGTGAGTAGATTTGAGCTGCTCTTGCCACAAAATCAACAAAAACAGCCATGTGAGGTGTGAACATGTTTGTTTACATTCTCAATGACCATTTCACTTCCTATATGTGCCTATAGCATCATGGTATTCACCTTCTATGTACTCACGGAAGCCTTAATTACGTTTCAGATGTAGAGTTGAACCAATGGCACATAGCTAAATGTAGCCTCAATTTAAAAACTTCCTTTTTTTAAAAAATTGACAAAACATTTACCGAAAGACAGAAACACAAATCAAGCTATCTTTCTTCCAAAAACAGAGGCTACGGGTTGCTTGCAATTAAAGGTAACTGATAAAGTCCTTGTGTTTAAAAAACTGCTAGATATGTCAAGATTGAAGGATCTCACAATACACCTCTGTCATCTCTCTGTCTCTGTCTCTGTTTCTCTCTCTCTCTCTCTCTCTCTCTCCCCCTCTCTCTCTCTCAACCAGAAAGCTGATATGTGACTATTTTGGACCACTTTGCTTTGCTCAGGAACACACTTGGTTCGTGTGTGTGTGTGTGTGTGTGTGTGTGTGTGTGTGTGTGTAACTTTTTTTCGAAGGGATCTTAAGGAACCTCAGTGCTCTCTCTCTCTAGAGCTGTCCAGGGTGCTGACTGCTCTCTTTCCATTAGCTCATAGAAAAATCTCCATCGTCTGTGTCCGAGTGAGCAATCTGAATACAAGACTGGTGACCTCATCCTGAATCTGTGTTTTGCCAGTCAGGCACAGCTGTTGCAATACACAGTGTCATAGTTGTCTTTCTGTTGCTGAGATAAAACACTGACCAAAACCACTTTGGGGAAGAAAGGATTTGTTTAAGTTTACAACTCTCGGTCGGTCATAATCTATTGCTAAGGAAAGTCAGGGTAGGAACTTGGAGGCAGGAATTGAAGCAGAAGCCATGGAGTAACATTTCTTACTGGCTTGATTCTCATACACCCCAGGGCCACAGCCAAAGTGTCACACTATCACTTCAGACTGGGTCCTCCTGGATCAATTGTTAATCAAGGAAATGTCCCACAGAATAACATACAGCCCAATATGATGGACAGATTTCATCAATTGGTGTTCTTTGTCCCAGATGACCTGAGCTTGTAGTATCTAGTTGCCAAAAACATACAAACAAACAAACAAACAAACAAACACCCCTCAGCTTCCCTGTCCTGGTTATCTGATGCTCGTAAGTGACATATCTCCAATATGCATTAGGTTTTACATTATCTTGTCCTTAGACCCAGAAATGGAGAAGGGAAATAGAAAATAGTATAGTGCACAAACAAACATAAAGACTGGGAGAAGGCTCCATGAGTTAAGAGCTTGCCACACAAGCATGAAGACCTGAGTTCATATCCCCTGAACCCATGTAAAAGTTTAGCATGGTAGAGTACCTGACTATAATCTCAGTAGTCCTATATAAGAGTAGGAAGTGGAGTCAGGAGAATCCCCAGAAGCTTGTGGGCTGGATATCCTGGCGCATGCCATGGCAAACAATGAGAGGTGCTGCCTCAAATAAGGTGGAAAGAAAGGAATAACACCTGAGACTGTTCTCCAACCTCCACAGAAGCACTCTGGTGTGAACCTATTTGTTGTCTGTCTGTCTTTCTGTCTCTCTGTCTGTCTGTCTGTCTGTCTGTCTTTCTGTCTGTCTCTTACACACTCTTTAAAAATTACGTAAATCAAATATGTCTTTGCATGACTGAGAAATATAACCTCCACAAAATTTAAGATATTCTACCGAGACTCACCCAGATAAAAATCTAATAAAATCTGCACAGAACACTTCTGCACTAACATTAAGGGGCTAGTGGTGAACAAATCACACAAGTGCAGACACTATGACTCTGTAACCAGTAATCTGTCACCTGTGCAGGTCCACGGACAGCCTCTTTGGGTGATATCATGGTTAATCACAACTACTGGGTTGATGGAATCTAAAATAACCTGAAAGACAAGCCACTGGGTATACCTGTGGGGTGTTATTTTAATTTTGGTTGGATTAGTTGAGTTGGGAAGACCCGCCCACCATAGGCAGCACCATTCCCTAGGCTAGGATCATGGCGTGTGTATAACAAGGAAAATGTGAGCTGAACACCAGCCTTCACCAGTCTGAAACATGACTGTGGATGTCATGTGACTGTTTATCTCAAACTCCAGTGGCTGTGACTTCTCTGCCACAATACGGTGTACCCTGAAAATGTAACTGAAAATCAACTCATTTCCCCTTAAGTTGCTGCTGTCAAAGTGTTCCATCACACTGACAAGAAACTAAGATGGTGGAGATGTCCTAGGATCTTTCATTTGTAATCGGTTTCCTTGTAAATTTTACACTTATTTAAACAAAGCCAATTAGTTGGAAACCCGCTTTGAGAAGCCATTAGCCAATTTTATTTAAAAATCATTGTGTAGAGTTAAAAATAAGTTGACTCTAAAAAGCTTCTGAAAGTTGCTCTTAGTGAAATTTGGTGATTTGCTGTTGGAATTAACTGTGACTCATTTTAAAATATCAGCTTTTATCAGGACCGTTCTTGACTGTTTCTCTCCAGTCTCTGCTTACAGGCACATGGCTGTTTGCACACTGTCACTGTGGTCCTCATGCATTGGCACACGGCTGTCTCTGCTTTCTTCTTTCTTGGTGACTTAGATTTTCCTAAAGATGTTTACATGCCAGTAGCCTGATTTTAAAACCACAAACAACCAACGCTGAGATCCAACGACAAACCACTACCCATGATGTCAGTCAGCCCAACAGGTCCAAGTTCTTCATGCTGGGTGTCCTTTGAGTCCTGAGTCCATCTTATTTTTTTTTCTCTGCCCTAATCCTTCAGTGATGTGACATCTTATGCCCCTGGGACTTGTTAG